ATATGAGGAATGCTGTTGTTCCAAACTCTGCGAAATCATTCGACTTCCAGACGGCCTACAGTCTAACAGATAAGGAAGTAAACAAGAATCATTTTTTATTTGAATTGAAACCCTTGCTTTTTAATCACACTTACCATAAAGACTTGAGTTACTTACTACTGTACATTTAGCTTACAGAATGTATTTGTTTTGGAGAGGACTTGATCAGCATTTTACTAAAGCACAGGTATCTTCTCCACAGGCGCCGAGAGTGAGTGACCACTATCCAGTACAAGTGAAGCTGAACTAAAAAAAGCAGCTTAAACAAATGCAAGAGACACGGACAGCAGCAAACTGATTAAAAACACATATGTTTTGTTTAGGTTGAACAAAGATGATATTGTGAGATGGAACATTTGATGGATAAGCGTGTACAGACACTTCTGTGATTGTTTACTTGAAACGTTCGGATATTGTACAGTTCTTTTTCACGAGCTTTGAATGTCATACGAATGTTTCACAAAGACATTAAACATCTGAAATTGAAATGTACAGTCATTACAAACTTTATTCCTTTACAAGAGAAACGGAAACTAAAAAAAAACATTTTTAGTCGCCACTGTGGGCCCAAATCATGAGTCGGTGTTTTAAACGGCAAGCAAATATACACTAAAACACATTCATTTCTTCCCAGACTTCTTGATTCCTCCTCCAGCTGCGGAAAGAGAACAAAACAGAATTGGTTGTTGACTAAAGAAAAACTCAAAAACAATAAAGAATGATTTCGGGTGGCTTTATGTCTCTCGTACTTAAAGGTCCTTTTCCAGAAGCCTTGGCTTTCAGCTGTTCCATCGCTTTCTGATCCTCTTTCTGCTTCTGTTTGAAAGCCATGTCCTCCTGTAGGACATGAAACCGGTAAAGAAAATGTATAAAGCAGTATTTCAAAATCATGTTCTCTAGTCATTACTTCACTCTAAGCAGCTCATCTCCGTCCACAAACCGTGATCTCAGTGTTTATGTCGAAACACTTCAACAGAAACCTCAATGTACAGGTGAACTTACATCGTCCATCTCCTTCGACTGCTTTTTGGGAGCCTTGAGGGGTTTCTTTTTACCTCCTGCAAAAATATAATTATACACATATGTTATATCATTTTAACATCGATAAATAAAAATGATACACTTGACACAAATGTGTAATATACACATTTATTAAAATAAATAATGAATTTAAAGTAGATTTTCCATTGTAACGCTAAAAAGAGAAACCCAACACCGAGCTAACCCATTCATTTCAATGTGGAACGTCTTAATCCGGCTAATGCTGATAGCATCGTGAACACAAAGATTAGAAAATCAACAAGCTTACAATCTATAAGAAGCCTAAAAATCATCGTAACTTCTTGTTTGTACTTCATACGACTTTCTACCTGATGAAATAGTCATGTTTAGCGTTTGTGTTTTAATTTTTTTTACCGTCTCTTCCAGACATGATGCTCAGATTGTTTAGCTAATGCGTTTATCCGCGCTGTCAGGACCTCAGCGGTTACCCGGATGTAGTAAGTGTATGATTCATTTAGGCGAATCGGTTCGTTCGGACGGTTCGTGTGAATGAACTGGTTCAAAAGCTAATTTGATTACTTTGAGTCAACCTCACGGTTTTATTCCTAATTTTATAATCTACCTACTGTTGTTTGTTTTAAACGATTGGTTAATGCAATCAAAAATGTATTTATGATTCGCGAGTCGGTTCAATTGAATCGTTCAAAAAGAATCTATCCAAAAGAGCACCAGTCTGTGCCTGAAAGAAATGCTCTCGCATGCCGCAGAATGACATTTCAGGAAATTTGACTGATATTTTATATACCGTTCAGCCTGTAAACATGAGACATTACTGACCCGAGCAGAAACGGCACGAAACGGAGAAACGCTGGTATGAGTTCTGAAATTAATCCAGTTAGACATTAGCAGTTTGATTCATCCGCTCGAAAATCACACACATAACAGCAACATCAGCGGATCATACTTACTCCGAACATAATTGTTTTTGTTCCTGTGTGATTCACTTGTAAAGTAAATGACCAACATGGACACCTTTATTTTATGTTGTGTTTCTGACTTTGAAAAATGCAAACTGAATCCGAAACTAAATTTAGTTCAATGACCTATTTAGTCTATTTAATATTGTTTACCGTCGACTATTTGATGTATTTGCTTTTTTATCCATTCTTGTAGCCTTGAAAATACAAATAAAGTTAGCTAGTTGAGCTAAAAAAAACATAATCACTGCCCACATGAAAAAATACTATAGTAATTACTTCAGTGTTTTTAAACGGTGGTACTGAAAGGTGCATTTACAACACTTTGTTAATGAAGGCTACAGCAGCATACTGTAGTATGTAACTGATAATACATACTGTAGTACACTTGAGCTTTTACTACAGTAAACTGTAGTGTATTGTAGTATAATATACCCTATAGTTGTAGAGAACTTAGTACAGTAATTTGTTTATATTACCACAGCAACTATAGAATTACCACAACAAATTAATTCTAGTACTTTACTATACCATGGCTCAAAAACACTAGTATTTACTATAAATTACTATTGTTTTTTTTCATGTGGGGAATACCACCTCATGAATCATTTTTATTATGTTTACAGGTTGCATATTTGACGTGCGTCGGCTCCACGTATGAAGCTCTTCAATGAGGTTCAGAGGGAACACTGTATTTCCAAGCAGCCATGTCTCCGGAATTACCACAACAAATTAATTCTAGTACTTTACTATACCATGGCTGAAAAACACTAGTATTTACTATAAATTACTATTGTTTTTTTTCATGTGGGGAATACCACCTCATGAATCATTTTTATTATGTTTACAGGTTGCATATTTGACGTGCGTCGGCTCCACGTATGAAGCTCTTCAATGAGGTTCAGAGGGAACACTGTATTTCCAAGCATCCATGTCTCCACATGTCTCTACCGACACCAGGTGTCCGGCCCGGTCCAGTGGATCCTCCACAGGAGTTACTGCACCCAGCAGCAAAGTCCCAAAGATGAGCCCAATAAAGTTACATCCGTTAAAGAGCGCACAGCATCTGCGTTTACGTACGCAGGAGAGCTGGGAAGGCAGTGGGGGCGAAATGCGATGAAAACCACAACAGTGAGCGTGAACTACTGGTGGGAGAGATATGAGGAGTTTGTCGGGCTTAATGAAGTCCGAGATGCTCAGTCCAATGTCACTGAGGTAATGTATGGCAAACAAAACATGAAAGATGCACCTTTCATTAGCTACGCTTACATGTATCCAAGTAATCAAATTGGTGTTCATGTGAGTTCATGTAAAAACCTCAATTGATCTCATTGTGCTTCGAAATCGGATTCAAAAATAGGCTACCTTTTGGATTCATTCTAACTAACCTAGTTATTGCATGTAAGCATAAGCACTGTTGGATTCATTTAAATGTCAGCATAATCTGAATTATGTTTTGCTGTTAGGCTGAAAAGGCCTTCATGGTCGCCAGAGGAATCGTCAGAGAAGCTCACGCCAGCCTGGAGGCTCTTCAGGTTCGGCTGAAGGAAGTGAGGGACCGTTTGGACCGCGTGTCTCGTGAAGAGGCACATTACTTAGAGTTAGCCACACTGGAACATAAGTTACTGCAGGTGAGGTGGACCTAGTAATGTACGCATATAGGACTGGGAGCGATATGGCCAAAAATGATCACAATCAAATGTTTCATATCAGTCGATATTATGACAATAAATTTCAAGTTTGAAGGCATATTTTTGCCCCTAAGTGAAAGCTGTAGAAACCAGACAGTTAATTGTGGTTTTAAACTACACTTTATGATCAAAACATGACAAAAACGTCTGAATTCTTTACACTTTTCCAGGCATTTTTCCTTAACAAAAGAAATATCTTGATAGAAAAATAAAATGTCTTCGTTTCTGCACGCTCTAACTTCTAATCATGAAACAGCATAACTTCTAATCATAATCTTCAGCACAGTTTGCAGTGCGGGCTGCGATATTAATAATTATGTTTTGTCTATTAAACATTTTTAATATTCAACTTTTTT